AGAAATGCTACATGGCCAGCGGAAAAGGGCGGACACCAGCAGTGACACAAAGGGCGGACACATCTTAAGAAAGAATTGAGAACCCCTAACAGTAAACTTTTGGGGAAATATGTTTTGAGACCACAGAACGTTGCAAAAAAAACAGAAACCTAGACTCTGGACCTCCAAGAAGGGTTGCTATCACAAAGGGGTTTTGTGTGGAGTGCGTATTTGGTCTACCTTCGTCTGCGCCTTTGCTTCTGGTTATATAATGAGAGTTTATTTCAACAAGGTCTTTTGAACGCCGTCTTCAGGTATAAAAGCCACGGTGAAGATATATAAACATATATAATGAATTGGAGATCGCTTCGCGATGGTTCCCCAGTCACGCTGCAGACCTTTGGTCTTTGCATGATGGGACTGTCCCCACGAAGTGGCGGCTGGCAAGTCTCTAGCTCTTGGTCACCCGCAAATGCGGAGCGACTTGCAGCCTCAAAGCACATGTTTGGCAAATTGAGGATAGTTGATGGTTCTGCGCGTTGAAACCATTCACTGCAAAACGCGCCTGAAGAATTCACGTCCACGCAGACCCCAAGACTTCTGAACCCCCGAGGAAGACATCGAATTCTCGATCCGCCACGTCGGCTCCTATGGCAATTAACTTGCACAAAATCCTACCGTGTAAAGGCACTGGGCAATTAAAACGCCATTCGTTGTTGGCTTCAATCATTTGGTAACATATCTGAGTGATGCAATTGCCCATCTGTATCTGCAGGATACAGCATGCTTCGCAATGCAGCTAAGGTTCCAGAAAGAGCAAGCCTTTGCCCCTATGAACCCATCGCGTTCCAGTGGAGATATCTTTGAGTTTTACCTTGTCTGATACGACATGTTCGGGCCCGAAAGAGCTGAGCTGGGACTGCATGTATCCACTGCTTAGGTTTCGTACTTAGCTACTCGGCTACTCCTCCTGTATCTCACATCTCCATAAGCATAATCTGCTTGCGCATTTGCTGCGTCAATGGCTTCAAGGAGCGACGAAGGCTCGGCCGACAAAAACAGAAAACAAACAGGAAAAGAGGAGGGGGAAGCTTGTGTACCTTGAGGGTAGCTAGCAAATTAACAACCCCAATAGCAAAGCATCGACCAAGATCTGGTGTGTTTTTCTGTTGCATTGTTATTTCACATATCCAACAACTGGGACAGTTCTCTAAAAAGATCAGACGCGGTCCAATAGTCTACACACAAAGCTAAATGTATGACCACGAAGCACTTAAGGAATGTTTGCCGATGGCCGGCTTGTATGTTCAAGTGCTCAAGTGTCTGCGCACGATGAACCATCGGACAAGGAATGAAAGGAATAAAGACTATACAGATGATAACAGGATAATTGAACCAAACCAGACAGAAAGCGCAGTTTAAAACGAACGCGCAATTTATAAACGAAAGGTGCAGTGAATGCAGTTGTCAGAGAGACCGAGAGACCATACTTGAGGCTCTGGAACCAGGGTCTTGAGAAACACGATTGGACACGCAAGCGCACTGGTTTTACAAAAGCACGCGTAGCAAGCGAATACTGACAAGCAAAGAGGACGCTTTTCGAAAGTAAGCCTGAGCAGGGAAAAGTACATCTATATAAGCAGTGGATGTATGTACACGCGCCAACGCATGACTTATACACGAACGATGAAGGAAACGCAAGCAAGCAAATCTTTACACCTCAAGCATAATATGTTTCGACCGACGCCAACACGGTTGAAATGCAATCGCAAAGATTAGGCACAAAGTTACAAACAAGTCCAATATCCAAGCCAAATGCGTGTTCCGTTGACCTCGAAGCACGTAACGAATGTTCGGCAGCCGCCGATGGCAGAATTGTCTATACATCTCAGTTCATTACAGCTTTAGACATCTAGGCGCGCAACCCCTACTTGGACAGAGAATGAAAAGCATATACATAAGTTCATACAAATGATAGGAACCTATTTTCACCTAAGGAAGAGGAACATGTATCGAAGGACGGAGGCATAATTTATACACCAAAGGCAAACTGCAGCCTGCAATCACTAGCCAACTGAGATTTTATACAAAACCCATACCAAGGCTTTAAGGGGCGCTGCTCTCAAGCGAAACAGTTTTCTACGCGTCGACGCGTAATGTATACAGTCAAGATATTCAGGCGCGAGATTACCCTTAAGCGCCAGCGCGCAATGTGCACTACGACACGCATGCATCAGGACACGCAAGCACCAAAATGTCTGCGAACCACCACCAAAAAAGCAGAGATACACCACCAAAACAGCGAAGCCGAACAAAAACACGGAAACAAAATCGACACGTCACTACATGAGCAAGACACCACCGACGGAGACACCACCGAAACATGACCGAGACAACGCAAAAACGCGACCCAGACACCACCTAAACATGACCAGTAAGACTCCGGCGAAACATGACCGGGAAGATTTTGGCGAAACATTACCGAGATACTGAGATACCACCTAATTAGCCATGACCGAGACACTGCCTGAACATCACCGAAACATGACCGAGATACCGCCTGGCCTAAACATGACCGAGGCACCGCCTGAACATCACTGATACTCCGCCTAAGCATCACCGAAACACTACTAATCATCGCGAACTTGTGATTCGGAAGATCGGTACCAGGAGCAATGCACTAGTGATATCCTTACCAAGAGTTCGGATTCATCTACTCTTGTTGGGCGCATGGAGACTTTGGGATTGGAGGCCCATAGTAGACTCCGCTACCTAGACCCTGCTTTGCTCTAATATGAGCTCAGCAGAGGAGGAGCGATGAATTTCTGCAGTCATGAGCGCCCAAAACAATCCGTGTCGGCATATGTGTCGATCACGGAAACTGCAGAATATATAGACGTGATGACCATATTTGAGGTGCATTTTTGATCAGAGCACATTTTTCACAGTCATCTGGCGAGATAGTCAAACATGTTGCGTCAAACAAACAAATCTAGGAATTTGGGCGGCGTCTCAGTGTGTCTTGGTCATGTTCAGGTGGCGTCTCGGATCTGGGTCATGTTCTGGGTAATGTTTCGATGGTTTCTTGGTCAATGTGAAACACACTGCTGCAACCAAAGAAAACGGACCTGAACATGCCTTTGGCGTCCGAGTCCTTGCCGACTGGCGAAGCTGTTGGCGCTGCTGCTATCCGACTCCAACACCAAACCAAGCTTGACGCCGACGTCCATGAAGTAGGCCTGCGTTCCCAAGCCATGCGCAGCACCATGGGTCAAAACAAAGAACTCAGCTTCCGACACGTTCAGTCAAAGAACCGTTTGCAGGTTGCTGCTTGCACGACGAACATGGCGTATGCCTGTCGCGCTCTTCCTTCCAAATTGGCGCCAGCGAAGTCTGAGTCGACGCTGATCCGGACGAAGTCTGGCGTCCGCTGCTGGTGGTAGACCAAAGAGATATTGGGCGTCTTGATCAGGTACCTGGCCAATCTCTTGAGCATCTCCCAGTGGGCTGTCCTCGGCTTCGACGTGCCCTGAGCCAGCCGTTTGACGGTCTCGGCCACGTCGGCTTGTTGCTGAGAAATTGAAAGAAAACTGGCCCTCATCACACCTGACTGTATCTCGAAGCGTTCCACCTTGAGCTCAGGTGAAGTCTCCAAAGCTGCTGCTTGAATGTGCCTCTGGTCTGGCTCAATGCGAACCCATCTGCGGCCATCAATCGCTTCGAGCTTCACCACTCGGTTCAACACCGTAGCTTCTTGAACACAGCCACTCACGAAGCCTAGTCGATGGCTTTCTCACGTCTGATACTTCGAACCGAGAAGCAAAGTCGATTCCTCCTCATTGAAGCCAACCTCGTAGCCACCTCCTTTGAGAACCTGCCAACTATCCATCATCCATGCATGGCTAGCATCACGAAAGCCATACACGCCTCTATTCAGGCGACCAACGACATCAATCTGCCGCTGTCTTGTCCTCTCCCATGACTATTTAATTTTCCTCCTTGGTGTCCTTGAAGCCTGTCACCAGGAGGGAGAACAAAGCTTTCACCATCTCCCATGGCGGAGAAAAGCTCATGCGCTAACATCCTCAAGCGAACCTCGTAGCGCGACTTGTCGCCCTTGTTGACATCCACCCAACGGCCAACGAACAGGAAGTATTGGCTTCCCGCTCTTCACTGCTTGGCCCCCTCGGCACCTTGTCGTAGAGCCCAATCTTGTGGATCCAGCCAACCTCCTCAGCTCTCGCCTCTTGAACCAGCTTGGTAGGCAATTGCTCACCGGAGATGTCATCATAGAACTTCTCCACCTCCTCCTTGCCACTCTGCTGGCAGCAAAGGCTCAGTTGGATCTGGTCCGCTTGTATAGGCCTGCAAGCCATCATCTGCCTCTTGATGCCTCTAAGCACGGTGTAAACCAGATCATCGGGCCCATGCCCCAAGCGCACATAGGCCCAACAACTGTGAAGACTCCTTCTCGTTGTTGAAGTCGTTGCATCCGCGGATGATCCCACGAACTTGCTGAACCTGGATGTTCATGAAGAAAGTACTTCCCTTGCTCCATGCGCTCGCTCCTCATGGAAGTCAACGCAAAGACAAAGATGTCGTTCTCCTCTCTCCAACCTCTCTGCTCTCCTCTGTGGATCTGCGCGGTTTTTGTTGATGTTCTGCAGGATGCTGAACGGGTCACACCTCGGACTGCCAGTGAGACGAAATGGATCTTGAACTCTCACCAGCTCCTTCAACTTGAAAACCTGCTGCGGGTCGTCTAAGTCCCAGCCGGCCGGTTTCCAAATCAACTGCAAAGCCTGCATTCAGGCCCAAGTGACGAGCACCTTCCGTGAACCTTGATGGTCTAAAAGGCTCTGCAACGTCCACCAAACCAAGCTCCTTTGTCTCGGCCTCAATCTTCCTCTTCATGTGGTCCAACGCTGCCACTTGCTGCTGCTCATCACCTCATCCTCATAGTCGAAACCCAATGTCCAACGATGGGCTCTGCTCTGTTGGCCTCATGCTCGAAGAAGGTCTCGATGAAGACGATGTTGCGTTGTCACGCGCAAAAAACCTCCTCCAACATAGTGTCTTGAGCCCCAACTGCAACCACAGGTGGATCACTTGGTGCCACCACTTCAGCCTCATCCGACCTCAACATCGATGGGTCAATCTCCTCAGTGGGCTCCTCTGCAGCTCTCTTGTACTTCATGCGCCCTGTCTGTTTCCACCTCTTTAGTTGAATCTGGGCTCCCGGGGTCTGACTCTCTCTTGGACACCCTCACTTGGTGCCTCCTCAAACCTCACCTTCTTCGTCTGCGGCTCATCTACGGCCTCTGCATCCTTCTTCTTGTCCTCTCGCCGCTCTCGAAGTTCCCCACGGCGAGCAACTCGTTCAGTGTGACGTTCAACACGCTGTGGGTCGACCAAGCCCACAATCCTGATCCTGCAAGCATCGGAGTGAAACTGCTGCGCGTCCTGCTCGAGCTGCATCGCATCCTTCGCAACCAGCTAGGGGCAATCTGTGCGTCCCCTTCATCCCAGTCTTGGGCCATGGAAAACCACGAAGCTCATCCAGGCCTTCTTTCGACCAATGATCCGGAATTTGTCCGCACACGACGCCCGTCAAACCGCGCTGGCACACTAGTAGTGCTCCAGCCATAAGTGCTGGGATGCCCCCTGAAGATCTTATTGTTTATCAGGAGTTACTAGAGAAGTTATAAAGGTTATAGGACTTAGCTAAGTGGTTAAGTTGTGAGTGAAAAGCTAGCCACTTAGCAGGCTTGCTTACTGGTTAGCTAACTGGTTAACAGTTTGTATATAAAAAACACCTCGGTCAGGTTTTTGTGTTTTCTTAACAATTGAACATTTTGCAAATATGCCAAAACA